AAATGTTGTTTCCATTTTTTTAACCTTCATTGCTTTTTTTTTTTCATTTTTACATTTTTATTTGGAGTGAAGTGAGTTATTATTTTTATTACTGTAAAGGAGAAACAGGAAGAGAGGACATTAGTAAAACTAAACAGATGTACTTGAGAAAATTGATAGGGAAATTTGATTTTACCTTGACTGTTTAAAGAACTTTACCAGATAATTTAAGCTGATTTTACTTCGAAAGAGAGAAGGCCAGGCACGATGGCTTACTCCTGTAATGTTAGCACTCTGGGCTATTGAGGCAGGTGGATTGCTTGAGCTTATGAGTTCGAGACTAACCCAAGCAAGAGCAAGACCCTATCTCTACTAAAAATAGAAAAATTAGCCAGGTAGGGGGAAAGGGAAAAGAAAACTGGCCAGACATTATGGTGGGCACCTATAATCCCCACTACTTGGAATGCTGAGGCAAACTCCTGGATTGCTTGAAACCAGGAGTTTGAAGTTGCTGTGTGCTATGATGCCTTTATGGCACTCCACCGAGGGTAACAGGTATGAGACTCTTATCTCAAAAAAGTAAGCAAGTATATAAAGGAAGGGGGGGAACTCATGCAAATCAGTAAGAAAAGATGATGAGAACAAAGGGGAAGTAATATGATCAAACAACTCAGAAAAAATATGTAGATGTCCATTATTACTTGAAAGATGTTCAGTTGAACCACTAATTCTAAGCAGGGAAATTAAAAATGTTCTTCTAATAATTTTGTGATTTCTCTTATTTAAATATAGTACTGGTAAGGATTTAGTGAGGGGCACTCGTACAAGTTGGAGGATATATTGGTGAAGTTTTTCTGGAAACTGGTAATAGAGCCTTTACAACATTTACAACTTCTGAGCTGCCAATCTGGATTTGAGAAATGATTCAGCAAAAGATAAAAGTATACGGATGTTCATTTCTCTAATGAAAAATTGAGAAGGCTTTAAAGAGTTCATCTTTTTAATGAAACAATATCCAGCCATTAAAAACCAAAAAAAAAAAAAAAAAATGGCAATGGGGAAAAAGTAGGCTACATGGAAAAAGCTGGATATAAAACTATACATGCTATATTTTGAAAAATAATCATATATAGGGTGGTGCCTATGGCTCAGTGAGTAGGACACTGGCCCCATATGCCAGAGGTGGTGTGTTCAAAACCAGCCCTGGCCAAAAACTGCAAAAAAAAAAAAAAAAAAAGCTGTCAATATATAGCATTTGTTTCTAGCTCAGTGCCTATGGCTAAAGCGGCTAAGGCACCAGCCACATACACCTGAGTTGGCAGGTTCAAATCCAGCCTGGTTCCACCAAACAACGACGGCTGCAACCAAAAAATAGCCAGGCATTGTGGCAGGCACCTGTAGTCCCAGATACTGGGGAGGCAGAGGCAGGAGAATCGCCTGAGCCCAGGAGTTGGAGGTTGTTGTGAGCGGTGATGCCATGGCACTCCACCCAGGGCAACAGCTTGAGGCTCTGTCTCAAAAAAATAATCACATACAACAAAAAGTTAAAGTCTTAACAAAAACAAAAAGTAAGACTTTAGCAGTAGTCATTAGTAATTGGCAAGTTAAGGTAATTTTCATATGCTTTTTCAGATTTCCTGCATTAGGTTGTATGTGCTAATTAGAAGGAAGAAATGCAATAGATAGGGGGTTTAAGCTAGCTGAAGAGTGTTTTCTCTAACAAAAGCACTAAGCCTTTGCTGAATTTTATCTGTACTCTGAGTACACACCTTATTTCTCACAATGACACTTCCTTTTTTTTTTTTTTTTGAGACAAGAGTCTCACTATGTCCCCCTCAGTAGAGAGCAGTGGCATCACGGCTCATAGCAACCGCAAACTCTTGGGCTTAAGCGATTCTCTTGCCTCAGCCTCCCAAGTAGCTGGGACTATAGACGCCCATCACAACCCCTGGCTATTTTTTTGTTGTTGTTTAGCAGGGCTGGGCTGGGTTGGAACCCACCAGCCCCAGTGTATGCAGCCAGTGCCCTAACCACTGAGCTACAGGTGCCGAGCCCCATAATGACACTTCCCACCTTTCCTCCAGATCCAGAATCAGTTGTACTTCTCACACAGTGAATCAGCCGATAATGGTGTATTTACCATTAGCTTCTTCCATTGCCCACTGTGCTATTCTCTTTTCAGTTTTCAAAAAACAATGTGCTATTCGAATAGGGAGATAAGGGAGAACAGAATAGGAAAGCACTGAGATTCTGATATATAGTATGTACCACATTGACTTTAGAACTTTCTGGTCGATCCTGTTTTTATGGATAGCATAGCCAAGACTTGGACAGATTGAGAGACTTGATCAGCAGCCTACCCAAGAGCCAGTAGAGTTGGATCAGAACCCAAGTCTTCTGCTTTCTCTAGCTCTCCCTATACAGTATATGTTAGTAAAAGCCATCATACAAACTTTGTTTTATGAAAGCTGACTTTGAGAGAAGGAAGGGATAACAGGGGAAAGGAAAGGTAAATTAGGTGGTATAAAAGAATTAATAGAACCTCCTACCAGCATATATAGTATAGTTTATATGGAAGCCATAGACAGCAAGTTTTTTTTACCTGTTATCAGCTGTGTAAACAATAAGAATGAAACACAGTGAAGTTATATTTTATTGTAGCATGACTAGTTGAATAACTTTCAAAGTACCTGCTTATCGATAGGAAATGCAAAGACAGACTAAAAAAAAATTTTTTTTTGAGGTAGAATCTTACCTGGTCACCTTTGGTAGAGTACTGTGGCATCTTAGCTCACAACCTGAAACTCATGTGTTAACATGATTGTCTTGCCTCAGCCTCCCAGGTAGCTGGGACTACAGATGCCCAGCTGTTTTTTTGAGACAGGGTCTCGCTCTTGCTCAGGCTACTTGAACCTGTGAGCTCAGGCAGTCTACCCACCTCAGCCTCCCAAGTGCTGGGATTACAGGCATGAGCAGACTAAAAATTTGACAACAAAAATTCAAACAATTTTTTAGAATATTAGAACTAATAAGTCACTTGAAGGAATGCTGGAATATATTCAAATTTTGCACTGATCTTTGCACGAGTATTTTCACATTGAAACTGATAGCATTTTCTTTTTGGTAATTTTACAAGAGAATTTGTTGCTATGAGCAAACTGTTCCAAATTTGAGTTGGCAGAATTTCAAAGTGTTAATCAAAACAAGTTTTAATGAGCTGTGTGTATAAAAAAGAAAAGGGGAATGGGGATAAAAATGGAATTAAAAGCCCCCCACTTGTCTCTGCGCCCATAGCACAGTGGTTATGGCAACAGCCACATACACCGAGGCTGGCAGGTTCAAACTGGCCTGGGCCAGCTAAACAACTGCAACAAAAAAATATATAAAGTTAAATAGCCAGGCATTGTGGCAGGTGCCTTTAGTCCCAGCTACTTGGGAGGCTGAGACAAGAGAATGGCTTAAGCCCAAGAGTTGGAGGTGGCTGTGAGCTGTGACACCACAGCACTCTACTCAAGGGCAACATAGTGAGACTCTGTCTCAAAACAAACAAAAAAAAAAGCCCCCCGCTTTTTGTAGAAGTGTGCCTTAGCCTTGCAGGAAATAACAATCCTAACAGCCCTTTTAGGGTAATGCTATCACTCCTGTTTTACAGCCAATTTGATAACTTGGGAAAGTTAAAATTGGTCCCAGTCTCTCACAAATGGCTACAGAGTTGGAACTCAAAGCCAGATCTCCTAAGTGCCCGACAACCCAGTGCCTCCAAGCTGTCTGGAGATTCTAGGCCACCTCAGTTTTTTGAGACAACTACTGTTTCGTTTTGTTTTGTTCTTTGTAAAGAAGAAACCACTCTTGGGTGGCGCCTGAGGCTCAGTGAGTAGGGCCCTGCCCCATATTACCAAGGGTGGTGGATTCAAACCTGCCCCGGCCGGCCAAACTGCAACAAAAAATAGCTGGGGATTGTGGCAGGTGCCTGTGGTCTCACCTACTCCGGAGGCTGAGGCAAGAGAATCGCCTAAGCCCCAGAGTTGGAGGTTGCTGTGAGCTGTGACGCTACAGCACTTTACCAAGGGCAACAAAGTGAGACTCTGTCTCTAAAAAAAAAAAAAAGAAAAGAAACCACTCTTACAAAATAACGTATCATGTTAAATACAAACTTTTAACAAGTTAGTGTTTAAAGCACAAAGGTATTTCAATATAATCAATCAGTCTTTTCCAAGATAACCGCAGGATGTATTCATAGTCCACAACTTTTGTGGGCCTGTGAAAAAAACAAGTTGAATGTTATCTTTTATTATAATTAGTGGGTTTATCTCAGCAACCACATGTATAATCTCATTCGGAAAGAAGGTCAAAAGTCTAAATTCATTCCTTTGTGAAGGTAAGAGACTAGAAGAGTACAAATGGCCTCTAGGCGCCCCCACTGTACCCCCAAGGTCTTTCCTGAAACAACCCCAAGCCCGTTGAGCCTGCACAGCTGGGACCACACGCTGTCGCCCGGGTATCCTGGAACCCGAAACTCCAACGGCGGTGGAAGATTATGTTATCTCGGTCAGACCATCCCACAGGAGAACGTTAAGTAAATCTCAAACTTCGGAGGCGGCCTAAGCAGTGGGGTTTTTCTTTTTCATCAGATTCGTCATCAGTTTTAGTCATTCAGGTCAAGGGGACGCTGGGAAGTTTCCAGAGATTCTGAATGAAAGATCTGAAAGGGAAGAGAGATCAGGTTGCCCTGCTACAGATGTCTGAAGCCGCTCCCAAGGAGAACGTGATCTGCCCGAGGACTTGCGGCGGCAAGCAGGGCAGGACGAGCCCCCAGGCTGCGCGCGCGGTGCGGTGGACAGCAGTCACCTGCGGGCACCCTCACACGTGCCTAGCGCTCGCAGCCCCTGACAGCTCCCGGGAAACCTTGGGCCCCGCACACCCCGCCCCGCGGCGTAGCCCCGCCCATAGGAACCAGCCCGGCCCCGCCTCTTGCCAACCGATAGGACGCTTTCCCCTTAGCAACCAGAGCAGTTCCAGCCATGGGTGAAGAGGAAGCTGCTAGCCGGACGGAGAAGGTTTCCCGAATCCAAAGGGTGTTTATCAACCTGTTGGATTCCTACAGCAGCAAAAACATCGGGAAGGTGAGCAGCAGCAGTGGCTCAGAACCAGACCCCCGCCCTCAGCTCCAGCCCCCGCCCCCGGGTGTTGTCAGGAGCTGTCTAAGGGAGGGTCCCACGTCCAGGGCACCCCCAATGCCCCCTGGACGCTAAAGTGCTTCTACCTGGAAGCCCGGGTTTTTAGAGGTCTCATGTCCAGCCTGTTCTTCCCCCTTTTAGTGAAGGGAAACGAGCGCAGAGGGAGAAAGATCATAGAGAGTTGAAGGCAGGACCTGGACATAGATTCCGGGTCTCCAACCTCCAAACTGGGTTACTTTTCCACTCCGTCAACGCATGTGAAGGAGGCAACAGATGAGAAAATAAATTCAATGGATCACCCATCCCGTCAATATTTGTCTTTTTAGCATCTATTATGTACCAGACATAATGGGACCCAGTAGGACCCCAAATCCCATTAAGCTTCCTCACCTTTCTTCATCCTTAGCCCTGGAAAATGAAGATACTGAAAGAGATCAGGGCTCAGCGCCTGGAACACAGTGTTTACAGTTTACAACACCAGCCACATGCACCAAGGCTGGTGGATTGGAATCCATCCTGGGCCTACTAAACAACAAGGACAACTGTAACCAAAAATAACCAGGTGCCTGTAGTCTGAGCTACTTGGGAGGCTGAGGCAAGAGAATTGCTTAAGCCCAAGACTGTGAACTTGCTGTGAGCTGTGACACAACAGCACTCTACTGAGGGTGACATGGTGAGACTGTCTCAAAAAAAAATAGCTGAGCATTGTGGCAGGTGCCTCTAGTCCCTCTAGCCTCTCTTTTCTTCTGAATGCCGTTTGCCTGAAAAATTATCTTCGAACCGTTAACTCTGAGTTTTAATTTGTCTTTTTTTTTTTTTTGAGACAGAGCCTCAAGCTTTTGCCCTGGGTAGCATGCCGTGGTATCACAGCTCACAACAACCTCCAACTCCTGGGCTCAAGCGATTCTCCTGCCCTTACCTGCCAAGTAGCTGGGACTACAGGCGCCTGCCGCAACGCCCAGCTATTTTTTGGTTGCAGCTGTTATTATTTGGCGGCCCGGGCTGGATTTGAACCTGCCAGGTGTATGTGACTGGCGCCTTAGCCGCTTGAGCCACAGGCGCCACCCTTTAATTTGTCTTTTGAGGCTAGGTGTATTTCCTGCAGACAGCAAATGGATGGCTTGTGGTT